GGTGCTGTCAGGGACTCATGAAATTGTCGCCTAGAAAAGGAAGGGAGCGCCTTTATTCACTGTACGGGCTCTTGGGGGCACTAAGCTGGATTGAGACCAGCGTGAAGTGCACAGAGCTCCTCCTTCCCTTCCATGCGAGGGAAATACCCTACTCATAGGACTGAGCCGCCTGGTGAACGGACGGGGTACGGGCCTACTGCGTGCGGACTGTTCACTCTGGAATAATACTCCCGTGACTTAAGGCTGCCAGGCAGCACTGGAGAGCCAGGGGACTAACTACAGGACACCCCGCAGAGCTGCTCTTGTCCTCACCCTCCACTCCAACACCCAGGGCTGCTGGGCTGAGGGCTGAGCTCCAGGGGTGCCCCTGGGGAGGGCCTCTTCAGAGATGGCAGGACAAACCCAAGGAAGACGCTACGGAGATCTCATTCCCAGAGCCTGGAGCTGAGTCCACCTCTACACTTGGTACCGGCACCATACGGATCCCAAGAAGGACCCCCTCTCCCCTGGGTGGCCGTCAGGACCCTCGGAGCACATTCTAAGGCCAAGGAATGGCCAAGAAGACTCCTCCAGGGATGAACGCAGTACCAGCACATCCAGAAGCCTCAAGAGTGCTGCTGCCCCAGGTGAGGTAGAAGCTTACACATCTGCCCATCAGGAAAGTCTTCAGTCCTGAATTCCACTTACCTGCAGGGTCTCCCCACATCCTGCAAGTCTCAGTTATGAGAGAGGCCTAGACCCCAAATCATCCGGTCCAGGACCCTCGACTGGTTCCTAAGAATGCAGCCGTGACCCCACCCCGATCCCCAGAGATGCTTCCAGGTCCTAACCAGAGATATACAGTAGCCACCGCAGGCCTCCCTGCACTCCAAGAATCTGTGCCATCCAGGTATTGCAGGGGCATTTATGCTTGTCCCGGCCCCAGGAGCCATCTTCCCAACTGGGTGAGAAACCAAAAGCAGCCGAAGGGAAGAGAGGCCTTGGGAGGAGAGGCCTTGGGAGGATGTTCACGGGCACGTAAGCGGCGCTAAGCCCTGAATGCACTGAAGCCCGCCCCTCCCCAGCTGTTCTGTGGGTTCTCCATGAGGGAGTGCTGAATGAAGACAGAGTTTCCCTGGTTGGGAGAGTGTGGTCATCCTCATTCTAGGCGGTGCGGGTCAGCTGGGAGCTGAGGACAGGCAGGGCTAGCCCTGGCTTCTCGTGGGACCCAGTTCATCGAAGGTGTGGGAGGTGATGGTGCAGAGAGGCTCTCTCGTGAAGTACCCATGGGGACCCACAGGCCATCGAGAGAAGCAGGATGTGTCCAGGCCTCAGGTGAGCTCTGTCCCCATCTCCATGGCCTTCCACAGTCCAGGGGGCGGCAGGAAGCCCCGGGGAGAAAGGCAAGGGCCAACTTCTGCCATGGCCCGGCTCCAGAGACTCACGGGGCACACCTCCTGGGTGCTGGGTGGACAAGCCAATGTTGGCACCAAAATGGCCGGGCCAGGAAGGGTCACGATGTTAAGACAGCGGCATCTGAAACCTGTCATTCACATGAGGGAAGATGGCCGACTGGAGAACAATAGCTTGGGGACACGGATGGGGGTGTCCAGGGACACGGGTTGTCAAGAAGGGAGATGGAGACTGGCAGCTCCTTGAAGCCACTTGGGGGCCCGGAGAGGCTGGGCAGGACAGCAAGGAGGTGGCCCTCCAAGTCCCAGTCACATACTCAAGGGCTTCCCAGGGCCCCACTCAGTCCACTGCTTCAGTTCGGTGGCCTCCGGTCCCTCCCAGCTCCAATGACAAGGACGGGAAAGGTGCTGGTAGAGGAATGAGGACCTCAGGGCGGCGTGCAGTCCAGGGAGGAGGGCTTTTACCCCCTTGTTTTACTTTGTGGGGACTGAGTTTAAAGCAACCAGAAAGAATAAGAGGCAAAGGTGACTCTCTCACTCAGGGCTCAAGTACTGGGCTTTTACTAAAAAAAAAAAAAAAAAAAAAAAAAGAATATTTCAATTCCCAGGAGGCTGGTGCAGTCTTAACATAGAAGTTGTTTGATTTTTTTTCCAACCTTTCTCTCTTTCAACAAAAACATTTTTCCCCCTACAACCGATGTCAGAAAATAGCTTCTGACTAGTTGGGAAGAAACATTCCCAAGGCTGGGAAGAACAGGATCCCCAGGGGTGGGCCGGACAGCCCCCTCAGAAAGCCCGTGTCCGGCCGGGCTCAGTGGCTCAGCCTGTAATCCCAGCACTTTGGGAGGCCGAAGCGAGTGGATTGCCTGAGCCCACAGGTTCGAGACCAGCCCAGGCAACTTGGCAAGACCACGTCTCTACAATAAATCAAAAAATTAAGTCGAGCTCGGTGGCTCAGCCTGTAATCCGTGCCTTTGGGAGGCTGAGGTGAGTGGACTGCCTGGGCCCCCAGGTTCAAGACCCACCTGGGCAGCGAGACCTCATCTCTACAGTAAATCAAAAAATTAGCCAGGCATGGTAGCGCGCGCCTGTAGTTCCAGCTACTTGGAAGGCTGAGGCGGAAGGATCGCTGGAGCCCAGCAGGTTGAGGCTGCGGTGGCTGGGAGTGGCCACTGCACTCCAGTCTGGGTGACAGAGTGAGACTCCAACTCAAAAAAAAAAAAAAAAAAATTAGCCGGGCGTGGTAGCACGCACCTGTAGTTCCGGCTACTTGGAAAGCTGAGACGAAAGGATCGCCACAGCCCAGCAGGTTGAGACTGCAGTGGCCGGGAACGTGCCACTGCACTCCAGTCTGGGCAACCGGGTGAGACTACTCCAACTCAAAAAAAAAAAAAAGCCCGGATCCAAGGGTCAGGATACTGCTGTCACATCCAAAGCACTGGCTGTCCCAGGGTGGGCCAGGGAGAAAGGCCGCTGGGTGTCAGAGTCTCAGGAGAACCCAACCCGTCTTGCCCAGTCACCCTCTCTGGGTCCGTTTGCTTTCCTGTAAAAGGGATGGGATGGGGGAGGAGCTGATGAGGTGGGATTGGCAATAGTGGGAATCTGCCTGGGGAAGGGGGACACACCTCATCAACAAGGGTATCTGCATCATGAACATTTATATACCTAACCCTGAATTGTACCCCACTTCTTTAAAATAAAAAAATTAAGTGAGCCGGGCTCAGTGGCTCAGCCTGTCATCCCGCGCCTTTGGGAGGCTGAGGTGAGTGGATTGCCTGAGCCCGCGGGTTCGAGACCCGCCTGGGCAGCTTGGCAAGACCTCATCTCTACAATAAATCAAAAAATTAGCCGGGCGTGGTAGCGCGCGCCTGTAGTTCCAGCTACTTGGAAGGCTGAGGCGGAAGGATCGCCGGAGCCCAGCAGGTCGAGGCTGCGGTGGCCGGGAGCGGCCACAGCATTCCAGTCTGGGCTACAGAGTGAGACTCCAACTCAAAAAAAATTAAGTTAAAATAATAAGAGATGGGATAATGACCCCGAGGCCCTGTCTAACCCTAACATTGTGCAATTCTGGGATTTTGAGTCTGAAAAGGGAAGAGAATATCATTCCTGCCCACTCCTGGGGTAGCCACGGGGATTAAAATGAGCCCCCAGCCGGACTCAGTGGCTCAGCCTGTAATCCCACGCCTTTGGGAAGCTGAGGTGAGTGGATTGCCTGAGCCCGCGGGTTCGAGACCCGCCTGGGC